CGCTACGCCATGGGGCCAGCCCCGGCTCTTAAGATTTTTAAAGGATTCTGCTCATCCTTGTTCTTACGAACACATTCAAAAACTTAAAAGACTACGTGATTTTTATCTCTTTCTCAGGAGTTGTCGAGTGTATGGCAGCTGGCACAATTATCCTTGCACACAAATCAGGGGGCCCGAAGCTTGACATTGTCATTCCTCATGAAGGAGAGCTAACTGGATTTCTGGCTGAAAGTGAAGAAGGCTATGCTGAAACTATGGCTCATATTCTTTCCATGTCTGTGGAAAAGAGACTCCAAATCAGAAAGAACGCTCGTGCATCTGTAAGCAGATTCTCTGATCAGGAGTTTGAAGTGACATTCCTATCATCTGTGGAAAAGTTATTTAAATAATGCGATATCTGTACAAATTAAAGATTTTTATATAAAATGGTTAAACACCTTCATATGTTAATGTTTTTCTAAACTCACTCCCTATTGTAATCAAGTCAGCCTAAGCAGTGCTCTCAGCAGTATCTGTAAAGCCAAGGTATTTATTTCAATCAAGGAAGGCTACTTTTCCTGAATGGAAAAGGTAACCCTATATAGCTTAAGTGTAAAAATTTTAGATTAGTATTTGGTCTCAAATTCTGAAAATTATGGATCTGAAAGAAAAAAATGAACAATCTTAATTTTGTTATAATCCAGATTTTTAAAATCCTATTTGTCAAATCACTTTACTTTAGAAACCAGGAGAGAGAACTTTCTTTTAGAAAAACGGAAATATTGAAAGGAAAATGGATGAGTGATAATTGATTAGTACTTTAGCATTGTTCTGACATGGAACACAAAAATTCTGGTACGTTTACATTCTAAGCAATATCGTGGATGACCTTTTTTGAATATATCTAACGATTTTCTTAGAAAAAAGAGACTTTAAGCAGGCTTAATCATGTTCTAAAGGCATACAGTCAAAAGACGGACTGACTAATTGCTGTCTGGGGATGTGGAGGCACGTTGAGGCCAGGGTACTGCCAGCAGTCCTTTCCATAACTAGGTATCTGTGAAAATAGGTTTTTGTTTAGTGCTGTCAGAACCTCTGTACTGATACAAAGGGACACCCTCAGGATCCCTTAACACTTCCACATCTCAGAGGCTGGAAGTCAGCTTACAGTCATTCAAGAGGTCTGAGTGAGAACGTTGTGACAAGTTGTTTTTCTGATAGTGATGATGTAATATCCGGATCCATCCACACGGGTCTCTGTTATCAGCATCACGCATTGTAAGATGACAAGGTGGCATTTAGAAAAGAGCACCTGACTAGTGTTAGAATACCTGGGCCTGACCTCAGCATCATTGTTTACAAACATCTGTCCTTTTGACACTAAAGTTGGCTTCTTAATCTTTCAGAAACGCAGATTCTTCATCCATAATCTGCACATGGTAATACCTGTCCTCACTACCTTTTAGAGTTGTGATACTGAGATGGAAAGTATTTGAAAGTACTTCAAAAATTATAAAAGTTACTTTTTTTTTGTGTGTGTGTGTGTGTGTGTGTGTGAGGAAGATCAGCCCTGAGCTAACATCCGTGCTAATCCTCCTCTTTTTTTTGCTGAGGAAGACCGGCTCTGAGCTAACATCTATTGCCAATCCTCCTCCTTTTTTTCCCCAAAGCCCCAGTAGATAGTTGTATGTCATAGTTGAACATCCTTCTAGTTGCTGTATGTGGGACGCGGCCTCAGCATGGCCGGAGAAGCGGTGCGTTGGTGTGCGCCCGGGATCCGAACCCGGGCCACCAGTAGCGGAGCACACGCACTTAACCAGTAAGCCACGGGGCCGGCGCTAAAAGTTACTTTAATTAAAGGTGACAATATATAGTAAATATTTTCTGTAATCCTCTCTTTATCAGTGCATTGGGACTCTATATAGATTCTTGGTTACTAAACCAATAGCTAGGAATCAGTATAAATTTAACAGGACTTCTATCCTGAATAACTAGCATGGAAAAGGGAAAGTAAGCACGTGCAGATATGGCAATAGAGACCTATAACTTTTGGCATTTTCTGTATACATAATCAATTCCTTCTGGTTCAGTGAAGTGACCTCCTTCACAGTCGATACATCGTTGTGTTAGGGGCATGTAAAAGAGGTATATTTTTCCTTTCCAGTCTCCTCTCATCCATTTATCCAGCCAGCCAGCTTCATTATCTGCTCCCCACTACACTGTTGACTCGTCTGCAGGCCATCTTCTGTCATCAGATGAAAAAGCAGCAAAACAGGGTCCCAGGATGTTGTGACACACCAACGTAGTTTTGTGTTGGAGGTTACTCAATTTGGGAAAGAAAGACTGGTGGAAATTGAGGCTGGAAGGAATCCTACAGATTCTCGAGTCTAGTTTTCTTATTTTCAACTTTACAGACAAGAACAATTTAAAGAACTTAGATTCCTTCAGTATCACAAAGCTGTTTCATGACAAAATCAGGATTATAACCTGAAGGTTCTGACTCCCAGCCCCATGCTTTTTCTTATCTTATAGTTCGTCTTTGGGATAAGATTCATACCATTGCCCACTCAGCCTACCATCTACCCAAAGAAAATCATGGGGTTAAAGATAAAAAATTGACATAGAGCAAAAGTAGAGGATGTAGTAAAGGAAAAAATGATTCTGGAACTCCATAAAACATTTTTTAAGCTTGTTTCTTCAAAATGATTTTCATTTATCACAGATATATCATTGGAAAATATAATTCGCATATATGTTCACTTTCAACGTTCCTAATGTGGTATTATCTGTTTGGTTTTTTCCTGAATGACTGATACCATGAAAAGTGTCAAAGCAATATGTTAGCTCCTGTCTGTCTGGAGAATCTCTGGGTGACAGTAGATGCCTATAAAATGTTGCTTTTGAGTGGTCCAAGCATGCTATGTTTTGAACCCACAGCAGTGGTGATTCATATTCTTACTTCCAGTTGTGCACAATAAAGTACATGTTACATGTTCTTTGTATAATAAACTATTTGTATCTAAATATGATTTAGATCTTGTAGATGCAAAATCTATTTGTATCTAAATATAATCTAAAGATGTGATTTTCATTATCTTGGATACTTTTCCCAGTGTGGTGCCTTTTATACCCCTCATGTAGTCTCCCAATTCTGAATTAGTATCTACTACTACTATTTCCAAGCTCCACATGCCAAGAAATTTTTTTTGAAGAAGAAAGAAATTTTTTTAAAAGACAAAACTTTCTTGCCTCTGGTACCCAAGAAGAATAGGTTGTCAGGTTTAATTGACTTTTTTTAAATGAAGGTTTCAGACTAACAAAAAACTGCAGAGCTTCATACATTTTTTTTTTCCCCCCAAAGCCCCAGTAGGTAGTTGTATGTCATAGATGCGCATCCTTCTAGTTGCTGTACGTGGGACGCTGCCTCAGCATGGCCAAAGAAGCGGTGCATCGGTGCACGCCCGGGATCTGAACCAGGGCCGCCAGCAGCGGAGCGTGCGCACTTAACTGCTAAGCCACGGGGCCGGCCCTATATATTTTATTTTAATAATTCTCAGGGTATTTTATGAAGTCATAGACAAAATTATGAGATAGCGGCCAGTGTGGTCATCAGTGCTTTCAGAATTGTGTTTAATTATGTAAATGTACCCTAGACTCCAAGGCTATGATATGAATAAATAAACAAATGAGAGTGTGTCTGTGCTAAATCTGTCATTGGGTATGACAAAAAAGTTGCTTTTGTTAAACCACAAAAAATTGTAGTGCTTACTAGAATAATATTCCCCTGTAATTTACCCTACCTCTTCCACTGTTCCTTGGCTAACTTTCTTCTTTCCCCACCCATCTTCAAAAAAGTGTATTCAATATAACTAAAGAAATTTCAAAATCACAGTTTTGTAAAATGGCCTTCATTATTTTTAACGTTTTTTTATTTCAAGTTTTCTATCAGTCTTAACAAATTACCACAAACTAAGTTAAAACAACACATTTATTACGTTACAGTTCTGTAGGTCAGAAATCTAAGGTGGATTTCATTAGGCTAAAATCAAGTTGTCGGTGGGGCTGTGTTCCTTCGGTAGGCTTTGGGGGAAACATCCATTTCCTTGACTTGCCCAGCTTCTGGAGGGTGCTTGCATGCCTTGGCTTTTGGCCCCTTCCTCCATCTTCCAAGCCAGAAGCATCACACCACCTCCCCCTCACACTGCCATCTCTCTGATTCTTCTAGGGCAGCCACGTGGCACAAGCGGTTAAGTGCATGCGCTCCGCTTTGGTGGCCCGGGGTTCACCGGTTTGGATCCTGGGTGCACACCAACGCACTGCTTGTCGAGCCATGCTGTGGAGGCATCCCATATAAAGTGGAGGAAGATGGGCACGAATGTTAGCCCAGGGCCAGTCTTCCTCAGGAAAAAAAAAAAAAGAGGAAGATTGGCAGATGGTAGCACAGGGCTGATCTCCTTACCAAAAAAAAAAAAGTTCTCATCTCTGATTCTTCTGCCTCCCTCTTCCACTTGTAAAGATTCTTATAATTACATTGGGCCTGCCTGGATAAACCAAGATACCCTCTCTATTTTAAGGTCAGTTGATTAGCAACCTTAATTCCATCTGCAACCTTAATTCCCCTTTGCCATGTAACAGTATATTCACCTCTTGGGGAGGTGGGAGCAACATTACCCTGCCTACCATATATATCATTTTAAGGATTTCTTAATGGAAATTTTAAAGTAAAAATATATTAAAGGTTAGTCCTGTTGTCTAAATCAATAGAAAAATTAATAAGTTCTTGGGATCACTAGAAAACCCTTACTATAAAAATATTTATGACTTGTACCCAAATAGATACTATAGTTGATATTCACTTACTGCTTAAGAAAAAACACAATAAACACACTTGTATATTTTGACTGGTTGTTGATGTTCCTTGGTGTTCATCAACAATACAAATTTTGTCATTAGATGGAGTAGAAATGTTCTCCAAACCTTCATTTAATCTGCATATTTCTGTGTGCTTATCCCCTCTCTTTCTCCTAACTTTCAGAGTCCTTAGAGGAACCAGAAGCCTCTTCTCTTTTTTCTTCCTCTTTGGAAATAGCGAGTTTTTCTAGGGATTCTACTACTTCATTTCTCAACTCATCTTCAGATTCTTCAAAAGTTCTGAAATAAACAGTAAAAATCAACTTGATGATATCAAAACACTGAAGAATACATAACGAAGATTAGTTTCTCTTCTCATTCCCCACCCCCACTTGACCAATATGAAAGTTACATTTTCACTTTCCAGGTAATAAATTATTTATCATATCAGTCTGATTTTTCTAAGGATGATAAATAACCAATGTTGAGAGAATCAGTATTCTGTTTAGTTGGACTTGTGTTCAACAACCCTTCGTTATATTTATTAGTACCCATCTACTCTTAAGTTTCAAAGAAGATAGATGAAAAAAAAGAAAAAATAATAAAATGGGCTACCATATATTGAGCCCTGACTGTATGCCAGTCACTGCCCTAGAGCACTTTACACACACTATATTTCATCTAATACTAACAACACTTGAGGTAGATACTATCATCATCAGTTTATAAAGAGGCTGGGCTCAAAGAGGTTAAAGAAACGCGCCTAAGATCCCACAGCTACTAATTAGTAGGACTAGGAATTGAACTTGTGTCTAAAACCGCAACACTGATACTTTTAGAAGGAAGAAGGCAGGAGACCAAGAAAACCATCTCAAAAACCACTGATATTTAAGTGGCAAGTGAAAGAGACTGAGGAAGAACTGGTAAGAGCCAAGAATGTTCACCATGGAAGCCAAGGAAGCAAGGAATTTCCAGAAAGAGGGAGCAGGCAAATAAGATGAGGACTGAGAAATGACAATTGGACTTGGCAATTTCAAGGTAATAGATGACCTTTGCAAGAGTATTTCAGAGTCTGTGTGGCAGGAGCCACCATACAGTAGATCAAGAAAGAAGTGTGAGGTAAGAAAGTGGTGACAATGAGCTTAAACTCCTCTGAGGGGAGCCCAGCTCTGAAAGGACAGCATTATCTCGAGAACTTGGGGGCAATGGTTTTTTGGTATTTTTCAAGATGGGAGAGATTTGGGCATGTTTATACGCTGAGAGAAAGTAGATAATAGAGAGACATTGAAAATAAAGGAGAAAAGCAGATTAACTGATAGGAGCTAGGTCACAGAGAAAAGGCTAGGATTTAGAGCACATCTGCAAGGATGGGCTTTAGCAGGAAGGGAGGCAGTTTTTCCTCTGAGAAGGAAGATATAGAGAGAAAAGGAGATAAGGATTCATGTGAATATAAAGAAGTTATGTAACAATCGAGATGATTTCACCTACACACCACATACTTTCTCTGTGAAGTAGGAAGCTGGGTCACATTATGAGAGCCAGGTGGATAGGGGTGAGTGCCCAGGTCTGAGGGTTTTGAAAGGAAGCAGATCAGGCATAGGATTCTTAGACATCACAGAAAACCTCACTAAAATCTTATTGTTAGTACCGTTGAGTCAACGACTCCTAGTGACCCTGTGTAGAGCAGGGCGGAACCCTGCCCGGTCTTGCGCCATCCTCTCACCTTCCTGGGCTTATTGGACAAGGCTCTGCTGCTATTCACAGGGATTTCATGGCCAATTTTTTTTGGAAGTGGATGGTCAGGCCCTTCTTCCTAGTCTGTCTCAGGAAGCTCTGCTGAAAACTGTCCACTATGGGTGACCCTGCTGGTATTTGAAGTCCCAGTGGCATAGCTTCCAGCATCACAACAACACACAGCCACCACACTATGACAACTGACAGACGGGGTGTGTGGTTCCCTGACTGGAAAACAAATCCAGGCTTCAGTTGTGAGCGCACCAAATCTTAACCTCTAGACCACGAGGGCTGGCTCCACTAAAATTGGAGATCATAAATTTAGGATGGACCAGTAACTGCAGCTCCCATTTGTTAAGCTATCATTGAGGTAAGTGCTTACACAAGATCTTCCCTTTGTCTTCCTTCCTCTACAGCTTAAGCAATATGTCTATGTGTGAATTTCCTTTCATTTTCCTGCTTGATTATTATTCTGTTTCCCAGATTTGATTCATGGCTTTCAATAATCATAAAAAGTTCACAGCTATAATGGCTTTGAATATTGCTTTTCCTCTAGTCTCTTCTTCTGGAACTCCTTTTAGATGTATATTGAACCTTCATGCCTCTTAATTCCTCTTTCACATTTTCCATCATTTTTTTTTCTCAGATCTATCTTCTGGTTACTAATTTCTTTATTAACTGTACCTATTCTGTTTTTTAAACTGTCAGTCAAATTTTAACTTCTATTAGCAGATTTTTTTACTTCCAGAAGTTCTCTTTGGTTAATTATCAAATCTTCCTGCTCTTTTTTGATGGATCTGCTTTTTTCTCATGTTTGAGTCCTTATTTTAATAAAATAATTTTAAATATGCAATATTAATTATTTTACAAATATTAAATATTCATAAGATAATTATATTGCCTGAAGTTCTTTATGGTCTAATTCAGCTATTTGCTGTGTTCGCTATCTCTCATAATGGATTCTGTTTTTTAAATTTTAATGGTGAGGGCTGGCCCTGTGGCTTGGTGGTTAAGTGCGCGCGCTGCAATGCTGGTGGCCCGGGTTCGGATCCCGGGTGCGCATCGAGGCACCACTTCTCCGTCCATCCTGAGGCCAAGTCCCACATACAGCAACTAGAAGGATGTGGAGCTATGACATACAACTATCTACTGGGGCTTTGGGGGGAAAAAATAAAATAAATAAAAATCTTAAAAAAAAAAAAAAAAAAAAAATTTTAATGGTGAGCTATTCTTCAGTGGTACTTTAGTGAGAAAACTCGATGTAGCCTGGGTTGAAATTATGTCTCTCCAGAGTGTTATATTTACTTCTTCTAGAGCTCCCAGTGTATCATGCTCCCTTACTATTAGTTTTAATGTTAATTTCTCAGCATACATGTTTCTGGATCACCCAAGTATTGTAAATTAAAATTCCAAACCCAAGTGAAGGCAAATCCATGGTTATAAATTTCTCAGGAAAAATTTTTCTCCTAGGGTTGGGCAAAGACAGACAAGCCACATTACTGGAATTCTTTCAAGACCACTCTTGTACTGAGGTGTATGTAGCTCTTCAAGGATTCCAGCTAGCAAGAATGGAGGGGAACCCACTGCAGAAAACAAAAATCTATTAGATATGTAGGAGGTTCACAGAGACAGGAAGGGAAGGAAAAACATTAAAAAAAAAAAAAAACCCTCCAAAACAAAATGAGCCCACAAACTAAAATTCCATAATGTGAATAAATCTAATGGTAAGAAAGATGGGCAAGAACAATAAAAAAGTTGGACCATCAACTAACTCCAGATGAAATTACTTCTATGGAGGATTTTTTTTCATTTTTATTTATTTATTTACTTACAAACTCTTGTGTCAAGGGCTGACTTTTTGTGTGTGTGTGTGAGGAAGATTAGCCCTGAGCTAACATCCGATGCCAATCCTCCTCTTTTTTTTTTTTTTGTTTGCTGAGGAAGATTGGCCTTGCGCTAACATCCATGCCCATCTTCCTCTACTTTATATGGGATGCCACCACAGCATGGCTTGACAAGCAATGCATCAGTGCATGCCCGGGATCCGAAACTGCGAACCCCCAGCTGCCACAGCAGAGTGCACCCACCTAACCGCTGTGCCACCAGGCTGGCCCCAAGGGCTGACTTTCAATAGATCGCAGCAAGGGAGGAAAATCTTGATAAAGCTCTCAAAGTAAGTATGCTCAACCCACAGGATCCATTTTAAAATGTTTTTAAATTATGAGAAATAATTATGCAATAATGAAACAGGAATATATAAATATGAGAAAAAACAATTATAAATCTTAGACATTAAAAATGTAATCATTTAAATTAAAAACCTAATAGATCATACCCAGATAGGTTTGAAAAACAGAATTCAAGAATTCACCTAGAATGAAACAAAGAGCAGAATAAAAATACATCAGGGGGCCAGCCCCATGACCTAGTGGTTAAGTTTGGCATGCTCCACTTCAGTCACCCAGGTTGGTTCCCGGGCATGGACCTATACCATTCGGTGGCGGCCATGCCGTGGCGGCAACCCACATACAAAATAGAGGAAGACTGGCATAAATGGTAGCTCAGGGCACATCTTCCTCAAGCAAAAAGAGGAAGATTGGGAGCACATGTTAGCTCAGGGCGACTCTTCCTCAGCAAAAAAAAAAAAAAAAAAAACACATTAGGAGTTATTGGGGACAGATTGAGAAGCTCCAAAATACATCTAATTGGAAGATCAAAATGGAGGGAATAAGAAGAGGAATATTTGGAGAAATAATATGTAAAAATTCTCCAGAACTAAAGAAAGTCACGGGTTCTCAGAAGAAAGTGAACCAAGCAGATAAAAGACAAATCCTAGACATACCACAGTGAAACATAAGAACATAAAGATAAAAAGAAAATTATGAAAGTACTATGGAGAAAGTTAGCATATCCATACAAGAAAAACAATTAGCTGATAGCAGATTTCTCATCAACAATAATAGAGACCAGGAGAAAAATGATAATCAACATAAAATTGTATGCCCAGATAAATGACTACTAAAGATTGATGGTAAAATAAAAACAATTTTGGATATGCAAACAATAAAAGTTTGTCACCCACTGACCTTTTTTTGGGGGGGGGGGGGGGGGGAAGAAGATCAGCTCTGAGCTAACATCTGTTGCCAATCCTCCTCTTTTTGCTCAGGAAGACTGGCCCTGAGCTAACATCCGTGCCCATCTTCCTCTACTTTATATGGGACACCGCCACATCATGGCTTGACAAGCAGTATGTTGGTGCGTGCCTGGGATCTGAACCCTGGGCTGCCGCAGCGGAGCGCACACACTAATGGCTTTGCCACCATGCCGGCCCCCCACTGACCTATCTTAAAGAACTATTAAAGGATATACATCAACAAGAAGAAAACTGAAACCAGAGGGAAAGCAAGGGCTAGAAAAAACCATGGCCAGTTCAGAAAACGATAAACTACACTGGCAAATTGAATTAAGTTTAAGAACAACAAATATTCATTTTAAAAAAGGTAAAATTGGATGGAAGGATTTGATGTCTGAGACAATGTTCTGAACTTACCAAAAAAAATGTGTAGGGGATGTGGGTGGAGTAAAGAACAATGTTGATCATTGTTAAAGCTAGATGATGGATACATGAAGGTTCATTTTGCTATTCTCTCTACTTTTACTATATTTGAAGTTTTCCACAATAAAAAAAGTTTTTTAAAGTAAAATTATAACTCTATATAACAATATCAGGATGGAACGGTTTAGTGGTTATTTAAATTATGCTTATCATATTTGGGAGGAAAAAGGGAATACTGAGCAACTTTTGAATTTGTTAGATCAATTTGTAGGTAATGCATAAAAGTGAACTATTAAAAAAAACAGAAATATAATCTCTATCTTCAAAACTAATATAGAGAAAAAAAAGTAATATAGAAAAGTCTGTCCATCTAACAAAAGGCCAGAAAAGAAAGAGGGAAAAGGAAATGAGAAATAATGGTAAACAGAAAACACAAAATCAAGCTTGAAACAGAGTAAAGCCCAAATATGTCAACAATTATATTGAATTTTATTAGATTAAACTAATTAAAAGACAGGTTATCACATGACAAGGAGCATATCAACCAGCTACATGAACTTTATAAGAAGCACATCATAAAGAAACCACATGGAAATCATGAAAATAAAAGAATAGAAAAATAGACATCATAAAAATACTAAAAAATAAAATAAAAAATTTTAAAAGTTGGAAGAGGAATACCAGCACCAGACAAAATAGTATTTAAGGCAAACAGCATTAATAGTGACAAAAGGTGACAATACATAATGTAAAAAAAAGGGACACTCTACCAAACTGATATAACAATCATAAATTAGAATATGGCTTCTATGTATTTAAAGTATATTGAAAAGGAGATAGATAAAATTATGAGGAGAAATCATCAAAACCACAAACATAGTTGAAGATTTTAATGTACCTCTATCAGGAAATGAGAAAGCAAAACAAACAAACGAACAAAGGCTATACAATACTTTAACAAAAAATATTTTAAGCTTGATGTAATAGATAATTATATCGAACATATACAACCCTAAAATAGTAAGAATATGAATTTTTCAAGGACATATGTAACAGTCATAAAATTGATACTGTACTAAATAGCAGTGGGAATCCCAATAAATTTTTTTAAATCACTAAAATTCAGATGACAGTCTCTATCCAAAATGCAAATAAATTAGAAATTTTGATTTTTAAAAAAGTTACACAAAAGTACATTAGTCATAAACTTCAAACTTGAATCATACCATCATGAAAATGAATATGAAAGCCAAGATGGTGATAAAATTTTGGCAAAATATATATCTAACAAAGGACTGGTAGCAAGGATATATAAATAATGACTATAACTCAAAAACTACTACACACTCAGATTGGTTAAAATTTTAAAAACTGACCATACCAAGTGTTGGTGAAGATGTAGACCAAATAGAATGCTCATACACTCTTCACGGGAATGTAAAATGGCACAACCACTTTGGAAAACTGCTTGGCAATTTCTTAAAAAGTTAAACATTCACCTACCATACAACTTAGTCATTCTACTCCTAGATATTTACTCATGAGAAATGAGGTTTATGTCCACACAAAGACACGTACATAAATATTTATTTAGCTTAATTTATAATAGCCAAAAACTAGAAACAACCCAAATGTCCATCAACAGGTGAAGGTATAAATAAATGTGGTATATCCATACAATGGAATACTACTTAGCAGTAAAAGGGAGTGAACTATCGATACATGTGACAACGTGGATAAATCTCAGAATTATTCTCAAAAGGTCGGGTGGGTCTCCAGGAAACTTAAGGGTGTTGTCCGTCAGTAGTCTAAGCAAAAGCTCAAGACAGAGCAGCACTTGTCTCACAAAGATTTGTGGGTCTGGCTTTTGTCTAATGAAGTGAATCCCAGTAAGATTCGCAGATACTTACAAGATTTTTGAACGAATTATATTTGCAGAAACATAGCCAGGTTGGACTGAAAGGGACAGAGACAGTACTAAATGAAGAGACTGTTGGACTCCAAAATTCTATTAGCAGGAAGCAGGCTGAGAAAATTCTCTCTTTCCTTCCTCCTCTCCTCCCTTCCTTCCCTCCCTCCTTTATTTGCTAGACAGGTTGATTCTAATGTTCATATGGAAAAATAAACAAGACTAGACAGAAAAATCCTGAAAAAGGAAAGTATTTAGGTGAACCAACTCCCCAAAATAATCTATATTATAAAAAATATGTTAATAATACAATAATTAGACTAGAAAGAATAGGAATTTAATGCAAATACATATAAAAATGTAGTATATTATAAAAGTGGCATTTCAAACTGGTAGGAAAAATAAAGATTTTCAGTAAATGGTGTTGGAATAAGTAAGAAGTTATTTGAAAAAAAAAAAGTTGGAGCCACACTTTGCAGTGTAATATGAGTAAAATTCAAGATGAATAGAATATTTAACTAAATAGAAAATTCAATCATAAAAGTACTAAAAAAATCCTATCGTTTTTTATGAAATAATTGATAAATCTAAATAGATATAAAAATAAGAAATTTCTACATGGCACAAGCCACTATAAATATAATTAAAAGGCAAACAAAAAACTGGGGAAAACATTCTTGAATCATATTACTGATAAAAGACTAATTTCCCTAAAATACAAAAAGTTCCCCAAATCAATACAATGTTAATAGCCTAAATTTTTTAAATGGCTAAGGCTATGAATAAACTGTTCCCAAAGGAGGAAATAAAGATGGCTCTTAAGCATATGGAGAGACAACCTCACTCATAAAAGAAATGCTAATTAAATCTAACCTGAAATGTCATTTTTTAACCTATAACTCATGCAATGATCCGTTAAGTTTGGAGCAAGGAAATGTGCAGGGAAATAGGCACTTCCATACATTGTCCGTGAAAGTGCTCATAGGTGTAAACTTCGTGAAGGACAATTTGACAATATCCAATTACAGATATATATATGCTTTGACCCAATACTTTGCTGCTCTGGGAACTTAAACTATATATATGTGTATATATATATATATATTTGCTGCTCTGGGAACTTAAACTATATATATATACACACACACACACACACACACACACACAACTATTTGCATATTATGATATGTATTCAAGATACACTGTAGGGCCGGCCCCGTGGCTTAGCGGTTAAGTGCGTGCGCTCCGCTGCCGGCGGCCCGGGTTCGGATCCCGGGTGCGCACCGAGGCACCACTCCTCCAGCCATGCTGAGGCCGCGTCCCACATACAGCAACTAGAAGGATGTGCAGCTATGACAGACAACTATGTACTGGGGCTTTGGGGGAAAAATAAATAAATAAAATCTTTAAAAAAAAAAAAAAAAAAAGAAACATTTTTAAATGATAAAAGGAAGTTGCAGGATAGTATGTACATTATGAAACTGTTTCTATTAAAAAAAAAGAATACACACATACACAAGATATACATATTTGCTTAAATTTTAAAGGAATTCCTCAGGAGAAGTACACACAGAAGCAGATTAGATTGGTTGACTCTGGGGAGGAGAATTGTGTGGCTGAGGTAAAGAGATAGCGGGAAGACTATGAAAAGAGTATACCTTTTTTTTTTTTTGCTGAGGAAGATTAGTCTTGAGCTAACATCTGTTGCCAATCACCCTCGTTTTTTGCGTGAGGAAGATTAGCCCTGAGCTAACATCTATGCCAATCTTCCTCCACTTTATATGTAGGTTGCCGCCACAGCATGGCTGATGAGTGGCATAAGTCTGCACCTGAGATCTGAACCTGCAAACCCTGGCCGCTGAAGTGGAGCGCACCGAACTTAACCACTATGCCAGGGGGCCGGCCCCAAGAGTATACCTTTTGAATTTAGAACCATGTGAATATATTACCTATTTTAAAAGTAAATTATAATAAAATTTTAAAAATTCAAAGGACTTCAAATTTTATAACTAATAAGACAGTTCGGTAAGGTTACAGGATACAATGTCAATAGTGTTCTACACTAATAGTAGTCAAGTTGAAAACACAGTAGGAGAAAAATGATCCCATTAATAATGGCAACAACAATAACAACAGGGGCCGCCCCGTGCCTTAGCGGTTAAGTGCACGAGCTCTGCTACTGGTGGCCCGGGTTTGGATCCGGGCGCGCACCGACGCACAGCTTCTCCTGCCATGCTGAGGCCGCGTCCCACAAACAGCAACTAGAAGGATGTGCAACTATGACATACAACTATCTACTGGGGCTTTGGGGGAAAAAAAGGAGGAGGATTGGCAATAGATTTTAGCTCTGAGCTAGTGTTCCTCAGCAAAAAGAGGAGGGTTGGCATGGATGTTAGCTCAGGGCTGATCTTCCTCACAAATAAATAAATAAAATTTAAAACAACAACAAAAATTAAGTGGGACCTATACCACGAAGAAAACTACAAAAATACTGAAGAATATTTAAAAAAACATAAATAGATGGAGAACTATACTATACTCATGGACATTTAGATTTATAATCACAAAGATGTCAATTCTCATAAATTAATCAACGAATGTTATGTCATTCTCATCAAAATCCCAACAAAGTTTCTCACGACACTTTACAAGAGAATGCAAAGATGTCTATGTTGAGTAAAGGGCAACAACAGCTAAGATAATTCTGAAGAAAAAGGTGTGGAGACTAGAACAAGGTCTGGTGACTGGCCCTACCAGATATCAAAAGGTATGATAAAGTCACAGTAATTAAGACAGAGCATCACTGATGCAGAGATAGAAAACAGTGCCTTTGGAAAAGAATGGAGAGCCCAGAACCAAGCCCACATATATAGTAAAACGTGGTCTCCTTAGCTAGGTCTCGGAGGATCTCTTCTATGTCTCAAGAACAGCATTTGAACTTTCCACCAGTGCTTCATTTAGGCATCTGGATATGACCTACTTACGTATCATCATCATCAGATCTTGGGTCTAGTTGTTCCTCATCTACCTCAGCGCCAGAGGCCATTTCCACCTTCCCTTCATCTTCTTTAGGGAGCCATTGTTTCAATGTTCCCACTGTTAAAAAAAATGACAGAGAGATTAAAGCATCCCAGCCTATCCACCCGATGATGGGTATATACCAAAAATCATTTAGTGAACATCGACCATAATGGTAAAACCTTTGAATCATTTCCATTAAAACAGAAGGAGACAGGGATGACAACTGACACCCCAACTATTCTGCACTGTACTGAAGGTAGTAGGCAACACACAAGAAGAAGCGAGAGGAATAAGGATCAGAGACGAAGAGACAAAACACTCCCACTTTGCCAGTAAATGCTTTGATTTTATAGAAAATCTTGCATTATAAAACCTTAAGATTTGGTTATGGTTAGGCTTAATCATTAATGTCTGCAGAGAAAACTCAAAGCACACACAAACACACAATTTTATCTTTTTCGGTGGCGGGGGTGGATTTATTGTTATTTAAAATGTACGTTTTTCTCTTGGGAAAAAGATCAGATTGAAAATAGTACAATATTTCGTCTCTTTATAGCAATGCAGTGTCCTCTCAACAACTCTAAGATTCCACTGATTATAAGATGCACTTTTATTTTACACACTGATAGCAAAGAAAATGTTCCCAATAAAATGATACAGTTTTCTTAGCCCTTAGAATTTATATTTTATACATATAAATTATTATAAGAACTCTTTTAGTCCTTTCTTAGCATACATTTTTAATCCTATATCACTGTTGTATATTCATAAAAAGGAAAATATAAGTGAAACAAATTGGATAAGGTATAACTAAAATTCCTCACATTCAGAGTCTTACTCATCTAAGTTTTTGTGTGTGTGTGTGTGAGGAAGATCAGCCCTGAGCTAACATCTGCCAATCCTCCTCTTTTTTTTTTTTTTTTTTTGCTGAGGAAGACTGGCCCTGGGCTAACATCCATGCCCATCTTCCTCTACTTTATATGGGAGGCCACCACAGCATGGCTTGACAAGCAGTGTGTCAGTGCACACTGGGAATCTGAACGGGCAAACCCTGGGCTGCTGCAGCGGAGCACGCACACTTAACAGCTTGCGCCACTGGGCTGGCCCCCAAAGTTATTTTTATTTATTTATTTTTTTGCATGTCAATCAAATTTGTTAGATCCTGATTCAAAGAGATCATCATAAAACAATTCATGAGGCAATTAAGGAATTTTGAATTACTTTTTTTGTTTTGTTTGTTTTTTGTGAGGAAGATCAGCCCTGAGCTAACATCCATTCCAATCCTCCTCTTTTTGCTGAGCAAGACTGGCCCTGAGCTAACGTCTGTGCCCATCTTCCTCTCCTTTCTATGGGATGCTGCCACAGCATGGCCTGACAAGCGGTGCATTGGTGCACACCTGGGATCCCAACCGGGGCCGCCAGCAGCAGAGCGCACTCACTTAACCGCTTCACCACAGGGCCCGGCCTCTTGAATTACTTTTTGAGTAACTGATTTCTGTGTTTTTTTATTGTGGTAAAAACCACATAACATAAACTTACCTTCTTGACAAGTTTTAAGTGTACAGTACAGTATTGTTAACTAAGTGCACATTGTTGTACAACAGATCTCTAGAATTTTTTCATCTTCCATTACTGAAACTCTACCCCCATTGAACAGTTCCCCATTTCCCCTCCCCCTAGCTCCTGGAAACCATTATTCTACTTTCTATCTTTAAGAGTTTGACTACTTTAGATACCTTGTATGAATGGAATCATGCATAAATATTACCTTTTTGTGATTGGCTTATTTCACTTAGCATAATGTCCTGAAGGTTCATCCATATTGTAGCATATGACAGGATATCCTTCTTTTTTGTGGCTGAATAGCATTCCATTGTGTGTATATGTGTCCGTGTGTGTGTATTTCTTTTTTTTCTTTATCCATTCATCCATCAATGGACATTTAGATTGCTTTCACATCTTGGCTATTGTCAATAATGCTACAATGAACATGGGTGTACAAAAATATCTCTTCAAGATCTTGTCTTCAGTTCTTTTGGATATATAACCAGAAGTGGGATTGCTGGATCATATGGTGGTTCTACTTTAAATTTTTTGAGGAACCTCCATACTGTTTTCTATAATGGCTACACTGTTTTACAATCCCACCAACAGTGCATAAGGGTTCCAATTTTTCCATATCCTTGCCAACACTTGTTATTTTCCGTTTTTTGATAGCAGCCATCCTAAGAGGTGTGAGATGATATCTCTTGGTGCTTTTTATTTGAATTTCCCTGATGATTAGTGATGTTGAGCATCTTTTCATATGCTTGTCATTGATGTCTGGTTTTTTTCTTACATAATTTCAACCTTGGTACAATCAAGAGCATTGCTGAGACAGATTTTCTTAAAAGAACCCACAAAAGAACTAAAAGAATTTACAAAATAATTGAAAATGCTGGATTCTTAACCCAGCTTTACAACTATGTAGAGAGAGCCTACTTTTAACTCCCACTTTGGGAATTTTGCTAAATATGTCTATATTAGCTAGCTTTTGCAGAATAATAAACCACCACATAACTTAGTGGCTTACAACAGTAACCATTTATTTAGATCACAATTCTGCAGTTAGGCAACTTGGGCTGGGCTGAGCTGGTTGCCTCTTCTGCTCTCAGCTGGGCCCATTCATGCATCTGCAGTCACTTGTCAGGCCAGCTGGAGGCTGGCTGGTCTAGTAGGGCCTCACTTGGGATGGCTTGTCTCTCTGGCCCACATGGTCTCTCATTTTCCAGCATGCCGACCGGATCTAGTTGAGAGCTGGACATGGCTCCAAAAGAAAGAGCAGAAGCTCCTTGAATACTCAGACTTGGCACACTACCACCGCCACCGCATTCTACTGGCCTAAGCGTATCACAAAGCCAGTCAAGATTCAAGGAGAGATGGGAAAAAACCATTTAATGATGGAGGAGCTGCAAAATCATATTGCAAAGGGCAGGGACACAGGGAAGAGTGAAGGATTGTGCTCATTTTTGTAATCTACCAGAATCTACCTCTCCACACGCACTCTACAACCACCTGGTTCCTAGGGGTCAAAAGAATGTTTCACTTCAATCTCCAGGAAAAAAATCCCTACCAACAGGCACCCATTCTACAAGTTTTAACATTCATTGGGGCCCAGACAATGATAATATGTCAGGACTACTGCCTGGTCTACAGCGACTGTAAAACACCATTGACTGTATGCTGCGTCCCAATTTCAGAAACATTAAAAGGGGGAAGAGGATAAATGTTCATCTCAGAAATAGTGAATTTCAGGAAACTGAGGTACAAAAGGGCTAAGTGACTAGCCTAAGATCATACAGTAATCAGTTGGAACCTGCATCAAAACTGGTATTCTTAGCCACTATTTTAAAAGCTATAACTTACTAAGCACCTAGTCAGACAGGCAACTTGCTAGACACTTTACAATATAATATCTCACTTAATATTTAAAACAATGCTTTGAGGTTGGTGCTATCTTAATTCTGATTTTACAAAGGAGGAAACTGAAGAAAGAATAGTTATCTTATTTGGGAGTATCAGAGCCAGAAGTTATACCAGATCTGTTTAAGTATAGAACCCATTCTTAACCATTTATTCAATGCTGCCTGGCAATATACTGCAAAGAATGAATCTGATTTAAAAACAACCTTTATGTATTACAAATGTAAATGTAAATATGTATATTTTCTGCATTGTTTCCCCTTCATTAGCAAAATATACTCTAAACATTTTTCCAAAGGAAATTTATACTATCATGGTATAAAAATCCTAAAAGAAACAAACAAACAAACAAACAAAAAATCAAAGAATGACACAGGTGTAGGGAATTATACTTATGTATCAATAGAGAAGAAATAGCCTAGGAATGGATCCAAGTATATACAAGGATAAAGTAAAATGAATTTTGAGCCAATAAGAAAATCTCTCATTCAGGGCCGGTCCCATGGTGTAGCGGTTAAGTCCACGTGCTCCACTGCTGGCGGCCCAGGTTCGGATCCGGGCATGAGCACCGACGCACCGCTCGTCAGACCATGCTGTGGTGGCGTCCCACATAGAGTGGAGGAAGATCGGCCAGATGTTAGCCCAGGGCAAGTCTTCCTCAGCAAAAAGAGGAGGATTGACAGATGTTAGCTCAGGGCTCATCTTCCTCACACACACAAAAAAAAAAAACACAGACACAAAAAAAGAAAATCTCTTATTCAATAAATAGTTTTGGAAAGTTGGGTATTTGGAGAAAAAAATTAAAGTTAGTACCTACATTATACTATATACTAAAATAAATACCAAAGGATTAAAGATTAAACTGTGAAAGAAGAAAACAGAAAAAAGAACTAGAAAATAAGAGTGAATTTTTTTCAGATTTTAAGCTGGGAAAAGCTGTTCTAAGCATTCTAAGAATCCACAAAGGAAAACATTGCTATATTTGATTATCTACAAATTTAATACTTTGAAGTATTGAATTAGAAAAACATAGTTTCACAAATCCTATGGAAATAATTGCTTTAGGCAAGAATTATTAATTGATGTTAAAACCATTAAGTGAATGGTTGATAGGGATTTGTACATTTCTACAGTGCCAAAGTAACACTGCACAGATTCCATTCCAGTGTTAAGAGTCAAAACATAACTTAAACTGGAGGTTATCAGCTTACCACCTCCTTCAACCAGTGGTCAGTGTTGGACCTACTAACGGTGGATCAACAAGACATGTGTCTTCTGCTTTGATGCAACATTACCTCGAATATATTTTAGCAAAAAAAACTTCAGGGCCGGCCCCGTGGTTTAGTGGTTAAGTGTGCTCGCTCCGCTACTGGCAGCCCGGGTTCAGATCCTGGGCGCGCACCAACGCACTTCTTGTCCAGCCACGCTGAGGCGGTGTCCCACATACAGCAACTAGGATGTGCAACTATGACATACAACTATCTACTGGGGCTTTGGGGAGAAAAAGGGAAAAAAAGGAGGAGGATTGGCAATAGATGTTAGTTCAGGGCCCGTCTTCCTCAGCAAAAAGAGGAGGATTGGCATGGATATTAGCTCAGGGCTGATCTTCCTCA